TTCGTCGTGAATCAGCGTTTCCCCGCCGAAAACTGAAAATTTCCTGCGGAAAAATTGAAACTCCCGACGAAAAAATATTTTCCCGCAGGAACTGGCGGAATCACGCTCATTTTTTTTCACTGGGTATATTATATCCTGACTACTATCGATAAATTTCTCAAAAAGATTCAGGAGACTTTATTTTTTTGTTTATGAATAAAAGTTTTACCAGATAATACAAACAATAAAAAACTGGCGATACATTAATTTCAGTAAGAAAAACAGCCTATTTTGTACATAAAAGATCTATAGATTTACCTTTAACCTAGAACATAATAAGAAATTAAACATAAGAATTCACGTTCAAATAGAAGAAAAGATTCAAAATTAAAAAAAAAGCTATTCGAACGATGTGATGAGAGAAAACTTAATAACTCGTACGAAAATGATAAAAACGCAAATGCTTTCTAAAGTTATTCTCTTTTTACATTTTGTTCTACTATTCTGGTTTCAGATTACATGTGCTCATTAAAGTAAAACTAAGAGGAAAAAAATTAAAAAAATTCTATCTGTAAGGTATTTCAAAATCAGTTAGTTAAATCATATCTTCATTTTCTCGATGTAATGATAATTTTGGACGAGCCAAACAATCTGCCACTGCTGCGACTAGAGCTGCTCCTTTTCCAGATCCTAAATTTAACACAAACATCACCGAATAAAGAAAAAGAAATGACAATAATATTAACGTACCATCATCCGATAATGCTAGTTTAAACTAAAATAGATATAAACGGAAAAAAGTTATAAAAAACAAAATTATCACCTTTTTTCTCAGACAGACGGACATATTTTATCTGTTTTTACAACAAATGTTCTACGTTTGCATTGTCAGATTTTTACTGATAGTCATTTTCAAAAATGATGCCACACTGTTTTTCTTTTGTATTATTTAGCTAGAATTTATTTTTATTTTAAACGGTCGAAAAGAGCGTGGATTCAAAACAGAAGATTTCATCAAACATCTTGAGGTATCTCAAAAACTATTTGGATTTTTTGAATCAATGGACTGAGTGTAAGACTCCCTTTACCCAGTTCTTATATATTATCCTGGGAATTATTCAGGTAAAATCTGTTTCTTCTCTAGTAAAAAGTAGGTAATAGACAAAAATGAGCAGTATAAAAAAGATATGGAATTTATTTTGCTGCTAGGCCAATTTGTCGCAGTTTTTTTCGTCGCGGATAGTTTGTCGCCACCGGTGTTTTCACTGCAAACCTTTTTGTTGCGGGGCACTTCGTTGCAGCGGGTGGAAGGAATAATTAATCGTATCTACTGTAACAGACCTTTCTCTTGTGTTTCTCTCCGATGTTGTTGATCTCTGATCGCAAGAGAGAGCAGAAGTGCAGCTATCTTATTCTCTTTTCCCAGTAAACTATATCTTACATTTATTTTCTTTGATTTTTTCTCTTTTTCTATCAATCCCTCCTATCTCTCTCATACAAAGCTCTATACCTAGTTCAAGTACCCCAAGAACGTAACCGAAACGAGTATTAAATGAAAGATATAATTTATCGGGAAAAGAGAATAAGACAGCTGCACTTCTGTTCTCTTTTTGTGACCAGCGATCAATAACAGAGGTCTGCGGGACGGTCCCAGTCCTGTGGAATGGTCCCGGTCTCACAGGACTTTTAATGCGACAGGGACCAGGTTTACTTGAAAATAGTCTTGTATGGAGCATAAAAATTTCTTAGTTTCTGTGCTTGTTTGTATGTAGGCACTAGTTCTGTGAGAAAGAAGTCATAGAACATTCTAAAAGTCTTCAATTAGTACCACTCACGTATGCTGTGCCACGAGCCACATTACAGCGCGCTGACTTTCAAACTATCAGCGCTACTTTGAAAAAATATTTACGGGACTACGGGGCCGGGATTAAAATTTTTTGTCTTCGTGGGACCGGGACCAAACAAGACCGCTAATCAACAAGACCGGAGAGACACACAAGAGAAAAATCTGTTACAGTAGATACGATTAATTATCCCTTCCGCTCGATGCGACGAAGTGTCCGCAACAAAAAGGTCTGCAATGAAACACCGGCGGCGACAAACTGTCCACGACGAAAAAAACTGCGACAAATTATTCGCGACTAAATGACTGGAACAAAAAGACTTGCGAAAAATTGACTGGTCACTTTTCTTTTAACATAGAACATCAGTGGAAGAATAATGTGCTTCAAGCAAATTAAAGTTTGACAAGAAACACACTTTGACAAGTTAGATGCATGTTGATGACACAGGCAAACAAAGAACAAAACTAATAACAACAAAAAATAAAAGGAATTTAGTGAATAAATACAGGATTTAAAACGAAATAACAGAACTGAAATTCCATATTTAAACAAACTGACAATTTTTTATACAAAAATAAACAAATAAAACAACAAAGCACTTCTACTGCTGATTACAATATACTAACACATCTTTGAGCAATTAGGTGCAAAATGAAAGATACAAAAAGGATTAAGTTATATCAACTAAACTCACTTCCCACTCTGTAAAATTCTCATCGTATTTACTCCAGACTTTCTTCTAAATTCAGTACATTGTAAAACAAACAAATTGTCATACAATTCTTACGACTAAAACGTTTTTATGAATTAGTATTAGTACTCTCCCCTTTATGTATTCGTGGAAAAAACGGATTTTGAAGAGAAAAAATAAGACTTAAACGACGACGGTCTCTTGATTTTTCAATATGAGTGTTCCGCTCAACTATTGCTTGTGGTAGTCACTTTGGACTAATCTTTCCATATTTTTTCTTGTGTATGATGCTGCTGTCAATCCAGCTCCAGTACCACTTCCATCCTCAGATATTATCATGGCAAACTAAAAACAAACAGAATAGCAGTGTAGTCTGTGCGTTGTAAATACAATTCATTCAATCTATATAAGGGTTTTCCAAGTCTATGCTAGTCGTTCAATATTATAGATGGTTGTCCTTAGTTTTTAAACGCCCTTCTAATAACAAAGTAGAATGTAGAAATACTAGAGATTACAGCAAGAGTTGACGTTAAAAGTCTAAAACAATTATTTCTATAATTGAAAATTAAACTGGGTCCGTGAAATAACCTCTGTGTAAAAGGTCTTGATGTTTTTTATACCAAAAATTGAGTACCAGGACTAAAGTTCAAAAGTAGTGTGCCAGAATCAGAATTTCACCCTCTTTCAGAATACGGGTTTGAAAATGTTTTATTTTTTTTCTGTTGTTTACAAATGGGATAATACGAACAGACTCAAAAAATTTACCGGGACAGAAAAATATGTATTTTTGCGATGTCAGATGTGGTCTTTCATTGTGATGATAGAAAAATTTAAACTATTCACGGTTATAGAGCAAATATTTCTCTACAAAATTATTTATTGAACTATTTCTAAAAAGGTAAGGATGAGTAATGAGAAGCATTTTTGTAAAGGCTACTTTCAGCGTTTTACACGTAAAATAAGTGTGGTTTTCCCGTTGAATTTTTTTGTAGAGAAATGTTTGCTCTACAATCGGATTAAAACAAAGTTAATTTTCATCAAAGCTCAATTTAAAATAATTGAAATAAAAAATATATCAAAATTTTTTTCATCCAGATATATCTTACAATGCGAAGAATAATGTCTTTACCTTGATATTCTCATTGACAAGTGTTTGCATACATTTTTCCATATTTCGTTTAAAGCGAGGATGATATCGATATAACGAACCATCAACACCAACAGTAATCACCGGTTTATTAATTCGATTAATTAAAACAGCTAAACCTATTTTCAAAAAATATGGTCAGTTGAATGTGATGAATGTATGAGATATGTTTTACCTGCTCCAGCTAACCGAGCGGCCCGTTTTGATACATTGCGACAAATATGTTGAACAATAGCACAATCATCAAAAGTCGGATTTCTAATACCCATATCCTCTAATACTCGTCGTGTATTACTAAATCCAATTCCTTTTAATATAAACAATATTAAGAGATAATACTTACCAAAAATCATCGAAATAGTTTACCTTCATCGGTTTCTACAGTTGAAACATATTTTGTATAAAAACCACCTCGTGAATATAGTGGGGCATTATAATCGCCATAACCTTGATTATGACCCAAAAACAGTAGTTCTTGTTGCATCAAGTCAATTATAATTAATCGAACAATTTCACCCCTACAAAAAAGTTATTTAATCATCTCTAATATCGCGATTCAGTATTTTTTTAGACGTACATATACATTCCACTAATCATTTTTTCAAATAGTTGTTTTGACGGATTCATCGAAGATAAATCGACTTCTTCGTCATATTTTGTTCGTATATGATTCAGTCTTCCATTATCACCTAAAATATATAATAATATCATGAATTATTAATAGATCTTAGAGCACTGTACATTGGGCCGAAACAGTAATATCATCAGACAAAAAGAATAATACAATTAATAAAAACTTACCAAATGCACCCCACTCCATATTTATAATTGTCTTAAAAAAAGTAATAAAGATTATTCAATGACCTATTGGTGAGACAAGTATCTTCTTACTTGTTTTGGTTCGTTATAATCTCCATCCCACGTTCCAACTTTGTCCAATTGCTCCATATAACATGCATTCGTTCCTGTCCCTAAACAAAATCGTAAAGATCTTTTTAATATTAATAATACAGACGTGATTCTTATTTCTAACCTAATATTAAACCAACAGATGTGTGTGGATCTTGGTATGCACAAGCCATCAATGTGCCAACAGTATCGTTCACCAAAGCAACACAATCAACATTTAAGTCCTAAATAGAAAATCTCTATACTACCATAGTGTCAATAGAGTATTATAATAAGATTAATAAAATACCTTATCATTTATCGCTGTTTGAAGCAATTTAACAACATCTTCATTCACAACATTTGCACAGCTAAATCCTTTCGTCCATTGTGTCAGACGAGCCGACGCAAGACCTTTATAAGGAAAAGAAAGGTTTTTTTAATTACAGTTTAAACATTTTTATTAAACTTTTTTCACCTTCTTGTTTGCACGGAAATGAAAATGTAAAACCTATTTGAAAAATAAAGAATTCAATTTAAATAATTTTATATAACTTTTTAAAATTGAATAAAAAAGAATACCTAGTGGATAACGTATACCAGTATGCAATAAGTTTTCTTTTGTCATAAAATCCATTAAACAATCGGTTATATGTTTAAATAACTAGAGAAAAATAGACACATATGACTATTACTTTCTCAGCCTATTTAATCATAGTATAAGATAAGAGATTAGATCACATGATCGAAGTTAACTCACATCTTTTCCTTCTCCGATCATAATACTTTGTGGGATAAGAAATATTTTTGATTGAATATCGATACGACCATGTCCAAGTAAATTAATTAATAAAATACGAAAATTTGTTCCACCGAGATCCAATGCTAAAATTTGACCAAGTTCTGTTCCGTCACTGATATGTCGCACGTATGTTGGATACATTTTAACGACAGCATTTTTGTGTGTAGAAGGATTAAGACCAAACTCCATTTCCATCTCCAATATTTGCATAACTTTAACCAATTCTTCATCACTGATTTTCAACGATTTGAGCACTTTTTCAATCTAGAAACAAGTAGGATTTCTATTAAAAACTGATGAACATTTTTAAACTTTGCCATCGTCAAAAATTATCATTAAAATAATAGACTGTACATTCTTGTATTTCACACAAATTTTCTCATACGTCACTAAAAACAGATCACGAGAGGTTATCGTTTGTGAAGTTACGCCTATGTTTGGATTAGAAAAATTTGTTATTCAACTTGTTTCAAATGTCTTAGTGTTTGTATATTCATTCATTACTGAATTGAGGGTAGTTCGCTGAAATATAAGGGAAAAGCAACTTGAATCGATCATGTATCGGCGCTTTTAGTTTTAAACGGTTCTAGTCGGTAACATCCATAAATCATATGATTACTTTTTCGATTTTTTACCCCTTTCGCTTTAGAATGATCAAATCTTATTATTTCGCAATAGAAAACCATTTTTACTAGCGTACAGGACAATTCCTCAATATGGACACTCCCTTAAAAGGACAACGCTGTTATTGTGTTCACTTTAAGGTCCAACGGAGCGCAACGACCCTGTCTAAAGTAGGTAATGATCTGTTTGTAATAGTGACCACAATATCAAAAATCAACAGAGATTATATACCATGAGCCTAGGAAAAACCAAACGATCAATCGGATTTGTCATGGAAGTCCTGTTGTGATCGCCGTTTAATATCGTGGTTGTTAGACGAAAGCGCGATTACGATTCTAAAACTTATCTGAAAAAATTGTCTCGTGGCGATCGTGAATCCTCACCCTCATGAAATCTGACGATAGAAAGTCCAACAATTATAATTAATAGGTATAGTTTAAGTTAATTTACTTGTTTCCCTTCCATCTTGTTATTGGTCAGTCAAGGAGAAAATTGACCAAATGTTCCCTGAATGAGTTATCTATATAAACTAGATTAATGATATTCTGTTGATTATTCTTTAATATCGGTGATTCCTAACCACAAAAAACTTTAAAAATCTTTTTCTAATTAACCCACTGGAAAAAAGATATCAATTACATGGTCATTCTACAGATCCCCTTTCTCCCTAGCGTTGTCCGATTTGATAATTTGTTGACTCGTTTCTCCTAAGGGTGATCATATGATTTATAGAGTTGATTTTGAACGTCCTTGAGCTAAATAAAGAAAATTTGCGCTTCCCAAAACCAATCCTCCTTTTACTGTCTTACACATCTCTTTTCTGCTTGTTTCTTTCAACTCTCCTTTAATAGTACGTTACGCACCGATGATGTACTATTGTACTATTTTTAGAACTATCTTCGTTCACACCCCCTCTTCAATGAAAAAGAATGAATGGAATGAATGAAGAGTATCCGACATCTAATAATCATGAAAAATAGTTACTTTCTATTGTATAATAATAAAAATAGAACAAAAGTAAACAGTGACAATAGAGTGAAGTAGGGCGATTATGTAAAATTTCGTCGAGCTCTTCAGTATTTATCACAGAACTTTTTTTTTGTATGTACACCAGGGCCCATGACACGAAGTCTTATGCCCAAAAAAGGAAAAAGGAAAAGAAATCTACAACTTTAAAATGTACAATTTACAGCTGAAAGTTTTCTAATATGTTGTGTAAGTTGTCTTC